TTTTTTTTAAAGTTTATCTTTTTTAGTAATCTGTACACCCAACATGGGGCTCGAACTCACAACCCCAAGATCAAGTGTTGCATCCTCTTCTGGCTGAATCAGCCAGGCACCCCTAAAAATCACACTGGCTTTTAAATTCTACTATTGTCCTCATTTTACAGATGAGAAAACAGAGGTTCAGAAAGGCCAACTGATAAACAATTTTGATGCCAATATAAAAAAATTTGTAAGTAGAAATCCGAAAAACTAAAAAATAATTTGCAAAGTATTTGCAGATAAACTTTTTTTTTTTTTTTTTGCAGATAAACATCTAGCCACTAAAAATTTAAGCTTCCCTGGGTACATTTATTTTCAAACTTTTCATCAAAGTATAATACAGGGGCGCCTGGGTGGCTCAGTCATTAAGCGTCTGCCTTCGGCTGAGGTCATGATCCCAGGGTCCTGGGATTGAGCCCCACATCTGGCTCCCTACTCAGCGGGAAGCCTGTTTCTCCCTCTCCCACTCCCCCTGCTTATGTTCCCTCTCTTGCTGTGTCTCTCTCTGTCAAATAAATAAATAAATCTTTAAAAAAAAAAGTATAATACATAAAAAGAAGGGCACTATTGGAGCGCCTGGCTGGCTCAGTCAGTAGGGATTCTTGATCTCAGGGTCTTGAGTTCAAGCCCCACATTGGGTGTGGAGCCTACTTAGAAAAAAAATAGAAAGGCATTATCATAAATGTATAGCTCAATGACTTTTGCTTACTGAGCACACCCATGTAACTTGCATCAGTTTAAGAAATGCAATATTACCAGGTTTTTCAGAAGCCCCCCAACCCATGCTCCTTTCCAGTCACTACCTTCCCCTGACTTCCAACAATATAGATTAATTTTGCCTATGTGTGTACTTTATATAAATGGAATTGGATAACACTATTCTATCTGGCTTTTTTTGCTAAACCTTATTTTAAGATTCATCTATATTGTGTATAGTTTTAGATCACTCCTTTTCCTTAAAGTATAATTTTCATCATTTGAATGTACCATAATTATTTCATAGATATTTTGGTAGCTTTGATCAACACTGCAGTACATGTCTTCTGGTGAACATATGGATGCATTTATGTTGGGTATATAGTAGGGCTGGAATTATTGTATCATAGGATATGCGTATGTTCACTTTTCAGAGATACTGGCAAATGATTTTCCTAAGTGTTTGTACCATTTTGTACTCTACCAGCAGTGTATGAGAGTTCCATTTGTTCCATACCCTTGCCAACAATTGCTATTTAACATCTTTTCATTTTAGCCATTCTGGTCATGTTTTAGCTTTAATCCACATATCCTTGATGACTGATGAGTTGAGCACATTCTCAGGTGTTTATTGGCCATTCATATAGCCCTTTATGAAATATCTGCAATGTCTTGTCTTTTCCTATTTGATTATCTTTTTTTTTCTTACTGATTTGTAAGAGTTTTATACATATTCTGGATATGAATGCTTTGAGGGATATGTTTGTGTGTGTATGTGCGCATGTGTACATATATGTATTGCAAATATCTTCTCCCACCGTGTAGGTTGCCTTTTAGATCTCTTAATGCTATCTTTCAAATGTTATTAATTTAATTTAATTTATGTAGGGTGGTGTGCCTTGCGTGTTCAATTCCAGGTTTGGAGAAACTGAGACCTGAGAACTGTTTTTTATAGTAATTCCAAATACTTTCAAATAGGCAACTCATTACTGGTTTTTTTCCAGCTTTGAGGTATAATTGACAAGTAACATTGTAAGATATTTAAAGTAAACAATGTTATTTTATATTTATATATATACATAATACACACACATATGTAGTGAAAGTATTCCCCAATTGATTAATTAACATAAATGCTCTTCATTTGAATACAAACTAATTTATCACCTTTTCCTTTCATGGTTATGTTTGGGTTATTTATTTATTTATTTATTTTATTGATTTTATTTTATTTTTTTAAAGATTTTATTTATTTACTTGAGAGAGAGAATGAGAGAGAGAGAGAGAGAGCACATGAGAGGGGGTTGGGTCAGAGGGAGAAGCAGACTCCCTGCTGAGCAGGGAGCCCGATGTGGGACTCGATCCCGGGACTCCAGGATCACGACCTGAGCCGAAGGCAGTCGCTTAACCAACTGAGCCACCCAGGCGCCCTGGTTTTTTTTTTTTTTTAATATTTTATTTATTTAGGAATGCCTGGCTGGCTCAGTCGGTTCTGAGTAGGGAGCCTGCTTCTCCCTCTCCCTCTCCCTCTGCTTGTGCTCTCTCTCTCTCTCTCCAATAAATAAATAGAAAGACAGGGAGGAGCAGAGGGAGAGGGACAGACTCCACGCTGAGTGCAGAGCGCAGAGCCCAAAGTGGGGCTCGATCTCACTACACCCAGACCATGACCTGAGGCCAAATCGAGATTTGGAAGCTTAATTGACTGAGCTACCCAGGTGCCCCCATGCTTATGTTTTTGTGTCTTCTTTAAGAAATCTTTGCTACAGGGGCGCCTGGGTGGCTCAGTCGGTTGGGCATCTGCCTTCGGCTTGAGTCGTGATCCTGGGTCCTGAGATCTAGCCCCTCGTCTAGGATCGAGCCCTGCATCAGGCTCCCTGCTCGTTGGGGGGTATTGTTCTCCCTCTCCCTCTGCATTTCCCCCCC